ATTCCAACAAAATCTGAGGGACTGGCCTGAACTGCCCAGTAGTCATCCAGGCACCAAGCAATCCACCGAATGCTCCTCCTAGAAAAGAGACAGAGATGTCGTTACTCTTTGCCAATTAATGTTAACACCTGAAATTCTATACACAGCTTTCATCAACAATGTTCCCACCTTTATTAGAAATCAATGCAGAGTTGCTTATATGTCTACTTTAACTAGGTTTACACATGAGCTCAAAGCACCAATACAGATTTTTAAAGCTTTTTACATCCACAGCAATCACAAAGGAACTCTTTACGCCATCAAAGCTAATAGTTTTAAGCTAGAAATCAGAAACAAAATAACACTCCTCATGGCACTGGTCTCTTTAGGATAAGCTCTACCAGTAAATAAAACCACGCCCAAGGAAAACACCAGACCAACAACTGCCTTGCCAGTGCCATTAACACATTATCTCTTACTAGAGATTCCCACGAGGATCCAAGCTTTCCGCTTCTGTAGAACTGCACGCTGCAACCTCCTACCCCCATGAAGTCCACCCCTCAGAAGGTGCTCAGAGACCAAGCCCATCAGCCTAACCCATCAACCCAGGGTCAATTACCTTTGCAATTTTAAAAGTACTGCCTATCCCAGTGGGCCAAGAAGTGCTCTGGTAAGTAGAGTGGTTCCAGGTCATCAAGATAACTGCAGACGGATCCTCTACAGATGACATGATTGAGGTTGCTGCTGAGAAACCAGCCTTGTAGACATACACAGCTGTTCTCTTTCAAAGAGTTTCCAGTCTAACGTGCAACACACTGCTCTCCGACAGCAATTCACATGCCTGGCACCCCTGCCCAGAGGCACAGACATCCTGGTGGAAGGAAGGAGACCTCCCACAACCAAGGGGCATCCAAACCGACCCTGCTTCCAAAATTCCCACCTCCAGTGACTGCTCCTAAAAAGTCATTTATGCACTAACAGGCATGCAGTTTGTCATTAGACAAAAATTTTGTAATTTGCACATTTTACTCCGTTGGCAATTTTTCCCACGATACCACAGAAATACTTGAAAGCCTATGATGGCTGAATTAATCTTCAAGGAACTTTTACGAGAACATCAATATCTGATTTAGGGGCACTTAACGCAGAACCACTAGAAGTACTGACGTCGAAGTTCCTCATCTATTGAGACAAGATTTGTTACATGATCATATTTTCCCTCCCCGACCAACACGTCCACAATCCATTCTTCTCAGAGCTGGCAGTCCTTAGAAAGCATGACACGCTGCAAGTTGATTCGGTGACCATTGCAGATGGAAGGTAATTCATCCTCTAATTCTTGGTGTAAGGCAGCAACAAGGATGGTCCCTGCTATCCAGTCACATACCTACCAAGGCTGTTTGTGTAAGTGAAAGTGCACTTGATTGCAAATGTCCCTGTGATTGTCCCAAAACCCACTAAAGACTCAGGGTCATTCACCTTTGCAATTAAATTGGGGTCTTCTGATTTAGTTGCACTGCAATCAGGACACAGCTTTTGGTATGTATGCTTAGTACTTATTATTCTTAATATATATACTTATTACACTTATTATTGTATACTTCTAGTATACAGTACCAGGTATACTTGTGCCTCTCTCATCAGTGGCTGAAGAACACTGAGCTTGACTGGAAGACACAGAACATTATGAAAGCTTAAACAAACACTTAAACAAAATGAGAAAACACATCCAATAATAACTTCGGTGTTTCTAATAATCTCGCTCAAGACTAAGGCCACTTATGTTTTTATTTTTACTTCTGATTTAGAGCTTATGAATTTCTTACAGAAGCTTAATTTCACTTCTTTGTTCCCAATAACTTCAGTCATACATTTGTCAAACTATTTCTGGCTATGAATTAAGCTCTGTGCTTGTAACAGGAATAAACACAGCTTCATTTTGCATTTTCTGTTATCATTCCTCACATATTATTTGGTTATTTTTTGTTAACCCTCACGTAGGCATACTCCAATTTACTCCAACACTAATAAATCCGTGAAATTGCTGGAACTGCTTGCAGGAGTAAGGAGCATTGAAGGATCAAGGCCCACATGACTTCAGTGACAAGGCAGCTTTCAAACTAGACAACTCTTAATCCAAGAGATACAGAGGAGAGAACTCTTTAGTATTAGTCTCTGACCTTTCTGTAATTTTCCATACAAGGAAAAAACCCAAAGCCAGAGGGAATAATGAATTTCAGAGGCAAAAAACAAGTTCATCAAGAAGTGGATAGCAGGTACTTTTAAAATACAGAAATGAACATTATTTTTTTGAAGGCTCCAGAGTGATCTTATCGCAGCCTTCCAGTACTTAAAGGGGACCTACAGGAAAGCTGGAGAGGGACTTTTTCCAAGGGTGTGTAGTGATAGGACAAGGAGTAATGGATTTAAACTGAAAGAGGGCAGATTTAGATTAGATAAAAGGAAGAAATTTTTCACTCAGAGGGTGATGAGGCACTGGAACAGGTTGCCCAGAGAAGTTGTGGATGCTCCATCCCTGGAAGTGTTCAAGGCCAGGTTGGACGAGGCTTTGGGCAACCTGGTGTAGCGGAGGGTTTCCCTGCCCATGGCAGGGGGGTTGGAACTAGATGATCTTTGAGGTCCCTTCCAACCCTAACCATTCTATTATTAGAATAAGATCATTAGGCTGACCAAGAACACTTGACCACCCTAGCTTTACACCCCAATTTCCTTTCCTCTGTGCCACCAGGTACCAACATCCCCCCTCGCTGCTACCATGGCCTCTCGTGCTCCTCTGCCCCCACTTCACCCCTCTCCTCTCCGTTCCCCACCGCAGGGCTGGAGCAGAGCCCGCACTAACAAGCTCAGAGCCTGGCAGTTTGCTTTCTTTTGAACAGCTTGTTCCAAAGGTTTCAGAGGTGCCACTCTCTCAGCCTCAGCCCTCTGCACGGCTTCCCGTTTGCTGCACAGGAGCCAAAGTCAGCATGGTCGCTATCACCCTAGAAGGAAACACTGACACATGCCTTCCTGGTGCACATCTTGTTTCCAAAAAACCAACATACAAAATGGCATCTTGTGAAAGCCCAGTTAACATGAAATCTCAGTGCTGTGTGCCGCTTTCCTTCAACCCACACCTACTACACAGACTTGCTAGTTTCTTCACTCAAGGAGTTAACCACACTTCTTGTTCCTAAAGCAAAACACACTTACCTACAGCAATTCCAGGTGGACCTCCCACCAGACCTCCAATAAATGCTGTTGCACCTGCTAGCAGTGCTCCTCGACCAGAGTGTTTGACAGCAGCTTTCATCCCCTTCTCCTGAGAGAGGTGGCAGAACAGTTTCATGACATCGTCAACATTGATGGGCATCTTGGTGAGCTAAAATCCTGGAAAAGATGTTTTAAGTTATCTTTTGATCGCTGCAACAGGGAATAAATTTTGCTCCTAAATGAATTTTAGGAAAAAATGGAGTTCAGGATTTTGCGAGACTAAAAGGACAGAGGCACAGACAATACAGTAAATAAAAAATAAATTTGCTTTCTCTTTCATTTCTGGAAAAATGGAACTTATTTGCAAACAGCTAAAGGTTATTGACACTGCAAGTGAAATGGCACAGTAGACAAAAAAAATCTGGTTTTATGACAAATTCAAACTTGTCCAAACAAGGACAAGTACCAGCAATGAAAGACTTAAGAAAGCAGAGCCTCACTCTATCGTAACTAGCAGATTATAATTGATAAATCTGACAGGTATTTTCTCCTCGTCCTAATTCTTGCCACGAAACAGTTGTTTGTTATCACGTAGCAGTTCTCCCCAGTTTGTTACATGCTTAAACACTTCCACACCGATTTCTGAAGCAGGAGGCTATCCACAGCAAGCGAGATCCTGAGGGAGGGAACAGATTTCAGGAGTTGGAAGAGAGACCTGGGACTGGGAATAAATGGCGGGCTCTGGAGACAGGGCATCTGAATCGTAGGGGCGTACACGCACGGCGGTGGGGACTCAAAGCAGATGTGCAAGACGACTCTCATTTGCACGAGGAGGCAGAGTTGGGACCTCAGCACCCTCACAGGCAGTGCCAAGTCTCTAGCACGGGACAGATACCTGCTCCTGAGAACACTTCCTCTGGCACCAAACTTGTCCCACCAAGTTCACTTTCTGCTGCTGGCTATCTAAGACCACTCACTTCCACAGAGGCCCACTGAGAGCGAGAGCGTGGCTACCCATTGCCCCTGGGTGGCCACCTGGCAAAGAGGGCAGCAGGGCATGCCTGGGGGAAGGCTCCAGCCCCAAGCCCTGCAGGCACAGGAAGCCACGCTACTGCACTGAACACAGCCCTGAGAAAAGGCACGTGAGCATGACCCAGTTAAAAACAAAAAGTATGAATAAATGGCAACTTTTGGGCATATCTGTATATTAAATATTCTTTTCCCCAGGTTGCTTGCCTTGTCACAGCATAAAGTGCAGGATTTGCTAACAGAAGCAAACATGCCTCAGAGTTGCAGGTGTTGGCAAGTTTAGGGAGCAAGGAAAAAGGCTGCGTGAAGAAACAGTATGGCTTCTCTGCTTTAAAAAAGAAAAGATTCTACCTGGAGAAAAAGATTTTTACCCCTTATTTTGCACCTAATGCTTACTTGTATTAAGCCAGTCACTTGAATCAAACTTTTTAGATTTTCTAACTTTTCCAGGCACCCATCCTGCAATCTCAGAGACATATTTGCAAAAATGCTGACCCCTCAAATTAACAACTGAATTCAAATGCAGCTCTGCTTCAGTAGTGTTACAGAATGCCAAGCACTGAAAAATGCATCTTTGGCTTCCAGTTTGGCAAAGCAAGTGGATACTTTTGACTTTAACAACTATTTTAATGATAGCAGAAAAGAGAGAGATACTAAAAATACCCTCACCTCATGTTGCAAAAATAGGTTTGATACTAATGAAAGACACTGATTCAGGCCAATGAGATCAGAGGAAAACCCTCAGAGGGAAATTAAGAAACTCCATCCCCATAGCGGACCTGGAGGAGTGTTCAGAAAATAAGGCCTGACAGTAAGAAAAAGTTTGCTCATTAAGCAAATACCATTCTGCTTACCAGTTGATGAAAGGGTTTGCAGGGGAAAAAAAATAAAAGTATTCAATACGATTAAAAATATCACATATACACAGAAGGCAGATCTATTGTCGTGCATGTAACGTTAGCACTATCAAACAGATGAGCTTTTTGTTTTCCAGCCTCTAGAACACGTTTTATCCAGGAGCATGTACAATACTTTCTCAGCCCAAGCCAGCTTGTCTTCATGTCTTTCTCCAACAGATCTCCCCAGTGCAAAGTGAACTTCAGCTCATCACACAGTTTTTCATGTTAAAAATTAACTACTGTGAAAGTGAAAGCTTTCTTTTGCACTAAAATGGCTGACTCCAAATCATCTGTGTCACTGCAGTATCCAAGCACCACTGACACTAAGCAAGAGTCTGGATTTTGGGAAGGGCCCACCTATGCTCCATAGCTGCAGAGAGGCACAGTAGGAAATTCATCAAATAGTTGCGTTTCTCTCACTACTTCATACATTTTCATGCCAGTCTAAGGAAAACATCAAAGTTCTTCATTTTACTGCCATTGCTTTTTGGTTTTTTGGCAGGCTTATGACACAGCAGTGTATCAGAATGGCAGTGCGTGCTGGTTAGTAACAGTTGAGTGACACACTCTGCTTCCAGAGTTATATATTATCCCATTGAAAATGATTCAAGCTCAAAGTAATAAACAAACGGCTGCTCCGTTTGTCCTAGAGCAGTAAGAAAAAAAAAAAACAGCATCAAATATACAACTGGTACAGTTCACACTGCCAAGTCTGGTAATGTTGAAAAATGAGAAGATTAAGTATTTGTTTTTACCTTATTAACAAAAGGTGAGCAGACTGCCACTCCGAGTAACATTCACCCCAGCACCGTGGAGCCTTAAGTGCTGTAGGATTCAGTTCCTCCCCTCAGTCAGATGGGAACCAATTTGTACTTGTCTTGCACGTCCTTAGCATGACCTCGGACTAACCCAACCGCCTGAGTGCTGAAATGAATTTGCTTTTTCTCTTTGGGATAAATCCAGTGAACGTCTCACACAAAGCTCTTCAGTATGAAGGCTCTGTGGCACTGACAAGACAACACAAGTAGGAAAGTTGACAACATGGCTCTTGCTGAGAGTAATATAATCTGCTTTCCCCCCAATCAAACCCACTGACTTCCACAATTTCCTAAACCATTTTAACTGTAATATACGTGAAATGACATTTGTGAGCAAAGAAACCCGAAGCATCAGGTTCCTGCAGTGAACAGAAGCTGCTGTCCACTGAAAGTCACCCACATCACGCCACCCACCACACTGCCAATACGCCAAAGTTTCCTAACAGTGATGTGGCATCTCAAGCAGTGCAAAGGTAATCAGCTACTCAGGAGTTTCTCTGAATAAATAAAAAACTCTTTCACAACTAGATTCAAAGTGCAATTGGTCAAAAGTGGAAAAAAAAAAACAGACCATAACGAAAATAGGAATCACACTGCTATCTGGTAGCATACAAAGTATGGTGAACACACGCACTTATAATAACATATTAGTCTCAAGGTAAAGCAGAAACATACTGGAACTCAAACAATTTTAAGTATTTTTTTCCCATGGTAAATTATTTTACTGCTTTAACTCCCCTCACAGCTTCCCCAAGGGAATTTCCACTCCCAAAATTAACGTTTATTTGGGTTTTTTTTTGGCTTGACTGAAGAAGGTTCCTGGCACAGCAGAGCTGTTCCTGCTTAATTCTGAATGCGAACATCACACTTAAAACCTCGAAGACATTACAAGGAGCAGTCATTTTCTCTCAATTCTTACAAATATTTCTATCATCGCTGATTTCTATGATCACTATATTTTAAGTCTTGCAGTGAACTTTAGTGAATATAGTAGCTGACGTACAGCACATACAAGTTTGGTGGATTTTTTAAACTATACATATAGAGCACGAGCAGAAGCCACTAAAACACAAACCACGTATTACAACACACGCACAAAGTAATCCCAGAGATTCCAACATTCAGCACAAAGACACAAATGAGCAGACCAACATTGCAGAGATCTTTTACAAAGTCACACCGGTATGAATTTCTTTGAAAATGCCAGGTTCTCATGAAGAATCAAGGTGTTTAATCAGATAATTTTCAGTGAACATGTTGGGTTTTTTTAACCATACATTACAGGTCATGAAAGCAGGATATTTTGACAATACATTAACAAGTTGCAGCACGGAGACTCCATAAAAGAGTTTAACGTGCTACTAAGACAAGGAGCCATGAAAAAAAGATGTAAATTAAAAAAATAAAATCAGCAGACAGACAGCTAGCTTTAGGCTGAGGAAATCAAAAAAAATGTTTATAAAGCTCTGCAGCTGCAAACCTCTAACATCTCACAGACTGGTAAGGTCTGTAAGAAGCCAACTGCAAGATGCGGACCACAAAGCTGTGGTTGACAACAACCTAATGATCAGAATCACTGGGCGAGCCAAATAGGAAGATAAGCATATTTGGAAATGCCAGTGAACTACAAGGGAACAAGAATCCTATCCCAGATTAAAAGGAGCTGTAAAATTTGTGTGTCAGAGGCAGAATCAGAGGACAGTCAAAAATACTTATAAACTTTGATTGCGTAACTGAACAAATAAACAAAAGTGCAATTTGATTCTAGCACCAAAATATTTTCTACAGAATCCACCCAGACATTAAGGATGACTAGGAACATAAAAATACTGGATTTGCACTAATGGAGGGATAAAAACATCAATGATGTCCATAAAACTGGGTCTAGCTTTCAGCAGTGCTGAGCTCCCACAGCTCCTACTGACTTCACATGTCATTGAGAATATTCAGCACTTCAATAAAAAAACAAACAAACAAACATGACTTTTGGAAAATGACGTCACTGAGAAACCAAGACCTTCCTTTTTTGTTCTACCACAGTTCATTGGCTGCATTCCTCTTCTCTTTGTGGTCTCCCCAAATACTCATCTCATATGTTAGACTCTGTACTTCTCTCTAGCTACATTAGATGATGCTCTCTGCTTCACCCAGAGACTGGGGAGCAAAGTGAGCAATGGTCCTCTACCTATCCATCCAAAGAGAATGATAATATCATGTGTTTGTATCTCACCTTTGAACCTACAACCAATGAGTTTTACTAAAAAGTACATTCCTCAGAACTAGTTTACTACTTCTTCAGAAGAAAAATGCCATAGAAAGAATTAAAACAACAAAAGGATCACATTGCACCCACCTTGCTGAAAGTCCTATTAATGCAAACAACAAAAGAAGGTCCCCAGATTAATCCATGGTGT